AAGACCAGAGTTTATACCCCAAATCTCAGAAATTGTAGTGAACATCTTGGCATGGCACTTTCAGTTTGCAATGTACTGAAATGTGCATTGTTTTGTGTAATTCTCACACACATTCTGTAGGTTATAATTATTGCTATTCATAAATTGGGAACTAAAGATATCTGACACTCCCAAAGCCACATAGCTATGAAGGAGCACATGCCCTGACTCAATTTCTTACTCCTCTCAGCACCTCAGCTGACTTCTCTGCAAGATGTTTCAGGGTGAGGCCTAATGTGATAAATGGAATTTTCAGACCATTAAGTCTAGACATCTCTCCTAGTGTTGCTATCCTAAAAGATTAAAATCATAAAGCCAACTCCATTACATGCAACTCTATTCTAACTTTAGAAAGTCTATGGGAAGCCAAACTGTGTTTCGCAGAAATGGTCTAAGGAGCCAATATTGAAAATTTCTTTTGAAATGTACCTTATGTGACTTACAGCACAACCTCTCTGTGCCTTTGTTTTCTCAACAATGAAATGGAGAAGTGATTCCTTTTATTTTGCAATATTGTTCTATTAAAAATAATCTCTTAAAGCAGCTAGAATCTTATCTAAACCATAGTAGGTGCTCAATAAGTACTTTTTATTGGCAGTTTTCTAAAATGTAGACTGTAAATGTAGCATGATACTGGACCCTCCCCACAAAAAATGAAAAACATGAATTTAATAGTCATCATGTGTCACTATAAAAATGCCTAATAAAAAGGAAAACAAGCCTACCATCTATAATGCTGAATTGTAAATCTAATTTGTAATGTACTCAAAATGTACATAGCCTCTGAAGGTATTTTCCTTCTATATCTTTCAAAAGACACAATCAGATTATTGTTGAAAAATATGCGATAATAAAGAATTGGGAAATCTGAAAGTTAGTTTGGGATTCTCTCAGCTTGTATTTGAACATAACTCTTCAAATACACTTATAGATGATTTCTATCTATTTGGATGACCAATTTTTCTGGAACATTGTCATAATATGTATAAACACTTGATTTTTGGAGGAAATATTACTATACCTCATGTTTTGCCAGTGCCCAAGTGACATTGCACATTTTTAACTTTTGGGGTCTGGAAAAATACAGATTATTGAAATAATGATTCCATCATTTCTGTTTTCTCTTTTCCCTTCTTATATTTCACTTTTACTTTGTATCTTAATTATTTTCTGATGTATTTTTATTTTAGAACTAAATGCTTCTATAAATTCTCAACCACATCTTATTCATCTTTATATCCTCTCTATATCTTGCACTCTTGTACATAGCACACATAAATTATTTTATGAATAATATTTCTTATTATTATTAATTTAATGAGGAGAACATTAACCAATAAAATGGAAGAATACAAAAATTGAAGTTTGTGTGTGTATATATATATGTATGTGTGTGCTAGTAATGGAATACCTAACTCAAAGTGACCAAAATGGTAAAGGAGTGTGTTGACTTACATAAATAAAAGTCTAAATGCAGCACAGACTTGAACTATTAGAACTATTAGAGGAATTTGTGATACCATTTAAGGTTGTTGCTCTATTTCTCAATGATTTGCCAGAGCTCTATCTTCCTATGGTTTATTCTATCTTCTGGATGGTTTTTGCAGCAAAAATGGTAAGCAGATAACTACCTGATCTTAAAAGGACTACTACGTTCTTTCTCTTTCACATAAGCATTGGGAAGGTGATATCTCTTACCACAAATATCCATTGAAATGCATCCCTGGTTGAGAAAATTCTTAATGGACACATGTCCATTTCTGTCTATGAACTAATCCCTGCATGCCAGGTGGTGATGGATATGGTCCTAAGGCAACATTACAATCAAGAAAATGGGAAGAGTCTAGCGTTCAAATAGGGTTCAATACCAACCAAATCAGAAACACTGAACAATTTTGGTAGAAGGTAGGGAAGGAAGATAGGTAATGAATTTGCACTATAATTGGATGGTAGTTTGAACTTCTAGAGTTGTAAAAGTAAAGTTGAAATTCCCCAATGTTGGAATTACTAAACATGCAAAAAGTGGTAAAACACAGAGCCATATGGAGCTTTAAATTTAAAAACACAATGTTTTCATGTGAATACTATCTGAATAAAATTTTTCCCTGCTGTTATTTTTGTAAAACTAATTCTAATGAGTCACTATGAAAATAAAAGAATTTTATAAAATATCCAAAGTAATCTCTTCACTTCATTTTTCCTTCTCAAAATGAAAACAAACAAACACAAAAACCCCAGCTACCCAAGTATTATAAGCATTATATTATTTTTAAAGTTTCTATGGATCCTTTAGATTACAAAAGAGGTAAAACCACATTTGCATTCAGTTTTGTTGAGTCACAAAATAGCTAAAAAATTACCTGTAAGAGCAATTCTCATCCTTGTCAAACTAATAAGGTAAATCTCATTGTCCCATTCCTTTAAGAAACTAGTGGAGCCTAAGACAAGTATAGAGCACTCCCCTCACCCACCAAGCCACTTGACCAAACACCCAATTGCCTAGGGCCATGGCTGTGCCTCCAATGTCCCCACCTGGACTTATTCTTTGCTTGGCATTCACCTAGCTAAAGCACTCTGAATTCTTCCTAGTTTGTCCACTTTCCCTGTCTTTTTTCTTTCCAAAAAAGCCTTCATCCTTCACCTCCAGTCACTACAAAAATACCCAATGCACTACCAAATAAGTAAATAAACACATCCTTGAGGGTCAGGAATTCTCTTAATTTTCATGTGTTCTGCTAATCTTGTACTAATGAGAAATAATTAAAATGTGATACCTAAACTTCTTTATCCAGACTGCCTATGAAAAACAATAGAGAAAATGACTACTATTTTCCTTTTAAAATGTTTTAATGGTATTAATAGAGATTTATGGTCAGCATGGAGGAAATAAGTTCACTCAACTGTTGTTAGAACAGACAGGATTTTCTGCTTTCCCTTCCAGCCTGCAGCTATAGAAGGGGATGACAGGAGAAACTTCTTTCACTGTTGTTGCTCAACAGATAGGCAGAACTTCAGTGCACCATTCTGGCTTGCCATTCCTGCTGTCCTCAGCATAGCATTTCAAGGGGTGTGGATCTCACCCATCAAAGAGATTTAAAGAGGTCTAAGGATCAGATTGCCATCATTACTTTTGAACACTAGTGTTTCCATAGAGGTTTAGTTTAACAAAAAAAAGATAAAAAAAACCCTATATTAATATTCTTTACTTCTTTCTGCAATCCAAAAAAAAATGTTTCTCCCTACTCCTCTACCCTGACCATGTCACCAGGATTTATATAAATTTAGAAACATGGAGAGAGAGAGAGAGATGGACAATAGAAATAGATAGATAGATAGATAGATAGATAGATAGATAGACAGATAAATAGATAGATAGATTGATGATAGATAGGGTATGGGTTTCCTCCATTTATTATTTTTATTTTTGTAGTTGTGTATGGACAGCATGCCTTTATTTTGTTTATTTTTATGCAGTACTAAGGATCGAGCCCAGTGCCTCACAAATGCTAGGCAAGCATTCTGCTACTGAGCATTCCCAGATTCTTTCCACTGGAGTTTATGTTAAAAGGCACATCAAATACATATTATTTGCCTAAGGTGGAAATCACTGTAACACTGGTACCAGAGAAGTGGTACTTCCAAAAATCTAAAGGGACCATATTAATTCAGAATGTAAAAGTGTCCCTTATCTTTAAACTACACCAGTATGTACACATGTGGGATATTGCCACAAAGGATTCATGCTGTCATTTGGGGACTGACAAGGAATACGTCTTAAGGATTGTGAAAATAAAAACCAAATACTCTAATCCTCAAAAATTGTAATTTATTTTAATTTGAGTTCAAGAAACATCAAAGCCATCAAATTGCCTTTAGTTTCCACTTTTTAAAGATTGTTTACTTAGCAAAGGAAGACATTCTAATGGACTTCCTAGAACCTCTTGTTTTTTTTTAATGTTTAATGAAGCTGATTGATTTTTGAAGGATTTACTTTTGAGCATACAATTTTTCATATTTAAAAGAAAGATTGAGGGGAAAAAATAAGCCTGTGCTGAATAAGCATTGCTACTAGCACACATCTCTTAAATACACACATTCAAAAGCTATTTTTTAAATCCTATTTTTTAGCATGCACTCTGAACTTGGAAGGAAATTCCACCAGACTCACCTTGATTTGTATCCTGTTATTTCTGATAAGCAAGCATGTGTATGGAAACTTTCACACACATATGCAAGCATATGCTGCCAGAAAAAAATTGGACACATTTACCACTTAGAAATAATGAACCTCATGTCCCTCAAAGGCACAAGCTAGTCTCTAATTCTGAACTTTCTGAGGACCATCGATATCAATATTACACATTTCATCATTTATATCTATAAATAAAGCAAAGGTATTGAAATCCTGGTGGTGAGGTCTGGCTTTTTTTAAAAAAAACATTGAATAAGATTATTAACTTCATTCCAAACGTAGGTACTAGAGGATTCATCCCTATGTTGTGAGAAAAAAAATATATGTTCTGGTTTATATTTATGTTAATCTACAACTTGAATATGCTCTATTGGTTATCTGTAAGAACTTAAATCTGTTCACAATTGAAAAATGATAGCTTTGAGTTGATTGATGATTAAGAAAATGATACTGGTAAAGAATGAGTCAATACTTGAAAATAAAGACCAAAGAAAAAAAAATGTAAGATGTGGAAACCAGGTTTTTATCTGATAAAGTCAAGAAAGGGATAGATATTTTTTAAATCATCCCTTACCATAATATGAAATAATAAAATTTAATTTTGTTTTCTTTTGGCTTATTACTTTGGTTCCTTATCAAAGTTACCCATATTTCTGGCATCTCATTGTTTATTGACTTTCATCATTTTATCCCATGACAATTCTCCTCAACGGTTTCCACTATTTTGTTGTTGTTTATTTTCAACTATTCTATTTTATCTCATTTCCAGATGTGGACAAGGATGGAAGGGAAATCGATGCCACATCAAGTTCTACCCTCCTACCTTAGATGTCATGTACAGTCAGAACAGTAGGTGACATGATGACTAAAAAATGGCTTGATTTGGGGTCTTTAATGTTTTTCACTATATATATATATATATTTTTCAACTATTTGAATTTCCAGACATATGGACGCTTCTGGGTATTGGATTGGCATTCCTGGTGACTCATGTTATAGTTGCTATCTTATGTTGTCTTGCAAACAGAAAAGGACCAGTCAGGTAAGTGATCCCTTTAATTGTTCAATAAAGTATAAGTAACTGAAGAATTTTCTGAAATATTTCATTGGCTATATTTTCTTTTTATCCTATTTTACATGCATGGAATTCCTATGTTTCCATAATTCACAGGTTTATTTTTCTGGGCAGAAACAAGAGCTACCTAATAATGATCACTCTTATTTCTTTTAGTAAAAAGCCTTAAGTTTACATTTCAGATTATGTAGGAGCCTTTTTGAAGACACCAAAGGGGGTGGAGGGAGAGGGAGAGATCGAGACTATAACATTGTTCACAGACTGAAAACAGATCAGGAGCTGTATACACCCTCCTGGTAGTACCTGAGGAAGGCAGCAGGACCACAGTGATGACCCTTTCTTGGCTTATACAGGATGGCTGGTCTCAGTTGGCTTCTCAGCACTGATGTTTTAAGCCAAGACTCCCATGGCACGAGCAATACACAAAGAAGAGGCTAAGAACAGTTGTGTCTGAAGGAAATCTGCATCCTGGGCTCATGCATAAAACTCAGAGGCCCTTTACAATCTACAGAGATATTTAAAATCCAAAGCTTTCTACCCATCACCCATCTTCTCATCACTAATAAAGGTTACAATTCACCCCCAAAGTCAAATAATTGACTTCCCCGTAAATATAGCAAGATAAGGGCTCACAATAAGATTGCATAAAACTTTAAGTAATTAAAAAATGCATCACCTCCTACACACCTGAGTTTGTGGTCAGAGATGTATACCTACTGCAACATTGCCATGTCAATCAATCATTTTCCTGGTGTCAACTTGTAGGTCCCACCTGGTAATTTCCTGAGATCTTCAGCTTGAAATCATGTTAATGAGCATACATGCATCTTGATATCATGAATTAAGGAAAGTTATTACAGAAGTATGGTGTCCCTTTCTAAGAAAGATCTAACATTAATAATCTATTACCATTAAGAAAATCTGTATGGGGTGGGGGGTTGGGGGACACTGTGGCCAGTGTTTCATTAAGGGGTCCTTCTTCCTTCCCAGGATAATCTAAGCTACCCTAAGACTTACAGTCTCAAATAATTAGTAAATAACAAAGCCACACTCAAAAATATTTACAAACACGAAACCCCTGATAGATCTAGTCCACATGGGCACTGGAACTAGACAGACAAAAGATGGCTCCTGTGATTTATTGAAGGGGGTTCATCAAAGGCAGGGATAAGGTTTCAAGGGCAAAGTCTTGTTTTGTGATTCTTGCAATCCTTAGGTTGATTGACATCTTGGCAGGTCACGCCCATGTCAAGTGCTGAGTGAGACCTTTGGCAGAGCTTGAGGGGGAAGTTCACCTGCCTCAGTTCCTGTGGGGAGTGCCATGGGGTGTTCCCAATGCCGGACTTAGCCCCTCAGGAGGCTACTATGCACAACAGTCCACACACAGCCCAGCGACGGCTTGTGACATGTGTTAATTTTAAAGTATTTTACATGTTTATGTGGCTAAAATATGTCAGGCAATGTAAAGATAAACATGAGTGAGAAGCAATCTGAACTTTAAAAAGTTTTTAATCTAGTGGGAGAAATAGACACACGTGAAATACTGCTTGTGTGCTAGATTATACTTGTTTATTAGTTGGGATTCTCCAGAATCCAAAGATAGATAGATAGATAGATAGATAGATAGATAGATAGATAGATAGATATCATTTATTTATCTTTTCCAATATAGGAAGAGGGAGATACTGACTTATTTTAAGGAACTACGTCTTGCAGTTGTGAGACCTGGCAAGCAGGAACCCAGTAGGACAGGAAATTCAAGAGTTGTGGTGCAGCCTGGAATCCCAAATCTGCAGGGCAAACCTGCAGGTTGGAAACCGGGCAGGGTTTCTGTGTTTTCTTGAGGCAGAATTCTTTCTTCTCCAGGAAATTTCAGTCTCTGTTATTGAGGCCCACCCAAGTTGTGGGTGAGTAAAGAAGTAAGTTGCTTTATGAGAACATTTACAATCAGTTGATTTTGCTCAGTCAACTGTAAATGTTTAGCACATCAAAAAAGAAAAAGAAATTTTAAAAAAAAGCACCTTCATAGCAGCATCTAGACGGGTGTTTGACAAAACAACCGGGCAAGGTGCCATTGCCTGACGAGGCTGACACATAAAGTTAATCATCCCAATACATAAACAAGTTGTCATATCCAACAAGCAGCAAGAGTACTTGGAAGGAGTCCTAAATTTCACTCCTCCAAATTTGTATTAGAAACCTATATTGGAGGCTATCGAGAGGTTCCCAGCAAATGGCAGCAGCACGATGCCACAGGCTGACAAAGTCACCTTCCTCTCTTGTCTGTTTCTTTCATTCATTTGCTTTCTTTCTCTTCGTTGCTCTTCACCCCCTTTCTTGGCTAAACTTTATTTCTCTTTTCCCTTTCCCTATTTCTTTATCCATCTTACCTTAATTTTCCTTCTGTCACCTGCCTGTCCTTCGTTTCCCCTTCTTCCCATCACCTATTGACACACTCCCAGCTTTATCTATATCCGCTTCCCTTCCCTGGGAAGATCTGTACATTCTTCATGGAGGATGTCATTCACTTCCAAGGTTTCCAATGCCATCTGAATGTGAATGGATTTAAGTCCTCTTTCTCTTACTAACATTCTTTCCTGAATTCCAGATTCCATACCATGCTTTCAACCATTTGCTAAACCTTTTCTATATAATTTTTCTCTAACATGCATGAGGTTAGTGTCCATCATTTCCATATCCTGAAGCCTACCTTTGAAGTCATTATTTGATCATTATTTGAAATGAAAAGCTGAAATATAGCTGAGTTTATCATCTGACCAGAACTCTAGTCTGAAAAGAAGTCACAAGTGTCACAGAAATTGAACTGAAATCAGCCACACCCATTAAATAAGAGCCTCCAAGGACCATACATTCCAATGGACTGCCCAAACTACCAATGACTGGGGTAAGACACACTTGCTAAGGCTTACTAAAGGAAGCGGAACCATCTCCACTGATGGCCTTCAGTCTCTCATCTCTCCAGTCTAAAGAGAGAAGTAGAAAAAAAGGGAGAAAATGGGTTCCTGAAGTCATGGTCATGGAAGTAAGGCAGTATTTGTGGTGAGGAGTTTTTACCTCTTTCTCAGGGTGAGAAATGGAAAAGGAGAGGAAGATACCAGCAGCTATACTACCCAAAGCTAAAGGATGGATGGCCTCTAAGAGAATTAATAGGCAAAATTGGTTGTGTCTAGGAAGAAAAAAAAAAAACATGGAAAATCTGCTTTCAAGGCCTGCAAGAGTTTTTGACATGTGTACCCTCAGCAGATGGACATAAACACAACTTTCAGTTTAAAACTTTGAAAGGGGATGGCCAATAGAGTGTCCTGCACCAGGTAGGCTGAGAATGACAAGGTTATAATGTACCTAGGAAGAATGGTGATGAGGGAGAGTGGGAAATCATACTGTAACTCAGTTTTGCACAACTCTCAGAAGATGGGACGCTTCCGTTGGTCCATTTGAAGTTGCAAAAAGAACAGAGATAAATTGGAGTTGTAGGTTGTCCAGACAGCTGCCAGTTCCCATGAAGTGATATCCCTGGAAAGGGTATTAGAATAGGGCTGGGCTGAAGGCAGACACCACTGTCTTTTTGTTTTTAATTTTTTTATTAGTGCATTAGAGTTGTACGTAATAGTGGGGTTCATTTTGACATAGTCATACATGCATGGAATTTAATTTGCTCCATTTCAGTCCTCAGGGTTTCCTTTTTTCTGCCTCTTCTCCTATCCCCCTTTCTCTATTCTGCAGATCTTCTTTCTATTTATTCATTTTTTTAAAAATTGGTGCTTTGCAGATATACATAATAGTGGAATTCACCTCTTCCTTACTACTTCAAGCAGTAGCCCTGGTCTAAGTTCGAGTCTAGAGTGGAAGGACAGGAGACAAATAGAGAATGGAACCTGATATTATTTTACAGCTTTAAAGTGGATTGGATTAAGTGTCCATCATTTAGAGTGACCCTAAAAATAACTGGGCCAAGAAGGAAGGCAACTGATAGAATATGGAGATGAATGGCAACAAACAATTAATAACAACAAAATAGAAGTCATTTAAAGTTTTAAAATTCTTTCTTGAGATCTCTCAATTGGTTAACCCCAGTTTTGGGCTCTACTACATAATAGAAGCAGATGAGATCCAAAATAGCATCTCTGTCTCTGATCCTCTTATTTACCTCCCTGTTCTCTTCTGTTTCTCTAGTATTTATTTTGTCTCTCTGATTTCCAAAAATCTCAAAACAAAAGTTTTGATTCCCCATGATGACCAAAGTCAAATATCACACAAAACTGTATCCTCAGTCTTGTTGACCCACTCCACACCCTTCCCCGAGGTAATAATGAAGTTCTTCCTCTAGGGACTGAAGAGAGGGGAGTCCCACAAAAGAAACAGACCAGCCTGGAACCAGTACAGGCAGAGCAAAACCAGAGCCTTCACCAATACCTCTCCAGGGTCTTCTTCAGCAGGGAGGATGCCTACTCTGGGGCTTCAGAGGCTACTCAAGAGTCTGTGGTACAGACAGGCTTGCATATGGTCAGATTTCATGCATTCCCTTTCAGAAGGAATCTAAGTTAGGAAGGTGCATCTGGCCTGCCCATCTCTTTTCTCATTTCAGTTTTTCTCTGGTGTCCTCCTGAAGTACCATCATGAATCTTACTAAAATAAATAATTTATGGGAAAGAAATATTCCCTGGTGGGGAAAACAGAAGAATAACCTGAGAATGCATCCACCCCAGAGACTGAGATTTGAGATAAGCAGTAGTGAAATTGGAACGAGAGATCAACTTCTGCGGAGTTGTTCTGTTCTCTAGGCTCCTCTTTCCTCGGCTCTGCTTTGCTTTCTTTTCTATTCTCTGTCTCTCTTGTCACCCTCCCAACCAACCCTCCACTTAGAATTAGAAATCACAATCAACAGAAACAACTGGATAGATAAACAGGACTGGCTTTGTCATTTATGTCAGATAGCCTCATGATAATTTCTGGAATTTTAAGAAGTTCAATCTAAGTTTTCACAATTTCATAAATATCAAAAATAAAAAAATAAAAGTGTATTTGAAGAATTTTTGTAATATCAAATATTTTAGAAATGTAAAAAAATCTATGAATGTTAGACGATAACTTTAAAATGCAAAAGGGGATGCATGGTTTTGAAAACTTATTTTATGGAGCACTTATATGACAAAGTTCAAGGACCACTAACCAAGTTTAATTTTACTATTTTCACCCTTCTGCACCCTGCTCTTGAGAAAAATCTCACATTCCCCAAAACACGTGAATTTTCAAATCCTCTGCCATGTAGTTGTATGTTC